GAAAACTGGACAGTGATATAGTATCACGTGAAATGAGACGTGCACAAGGACCTGATGGTGTTCGTTTGTTCAAAGTATCCGAGTTTCTTACCCCGCAGCAGTGCACTTCATATTTCTCACGTCTTGCAGCTAAGGTCCGACGGCAAACATCCGACGATGCTGAAATCCAAGCTGTAGAAGAAGAGGAAAACTTTATCATGGCAAGAGAAACAATCCTATCCATCACGCTACAGCACCCCTTCACTTACGATCAGTACGATATCTGTGCCATGGCCAAGGGAGGATCTCTGGAGCGACTTAAACTTGGAATGCTTCAAAACATTTGTCAGCAACTAGAATTAGAAGTACCTCCCGAGCCTGTTCGCCGCAAAGCGCTCTACGTTGACCTGCTGAAAAAAGCCGTCAACAATTGTACTTGCCAGCTCCGTGGGCAAAATATGTAGAAACAGAAAGTACTACCCTGCTCACGGACGTTTTTCTGTTTTGGGAATTTGGTGCGCGCACAAGATAAGCGATTGCTCATGAGAGAGGGTGGAACGCGCTTTTTTTTTTATACGTGCACTCGACGATATCTGAAAATGAAGAGTGTCTGTGAACAGGCTAGTAAAGTACACAAAGTGTAGAGTTTTGCCTAGACGGTGTTCTCACTTCTCCTCAGAGGCTTGCTTCCAGGAGTGAAGCATTCACCATTTGTTCGCGCCGGAATAACTAAGTTAAGACAAAAATCTATTTTGTTCATTGTTTTGCTTCCTTTACTTATTTTTGAAGTTCGTTTATGTTTAAAAGAGCGTTCCTTTTCGGAAAATGAGATCATTTCATGTTTGTCAGGGTGAGTACTTGTTACAAATCAGTCAGTTACCTTTCAGTTCGTGACTATTTGCACGTTATAAATGTCTCTTCCCGCTCTAACAAAACAATGACACCTTATCTTATAAATGTGAAGAGGTATTTTAGCCTGCATAACAGCCGCTTTATGAGCCAAGCGAGTCGAACGCGGCATTTGCTCGAAGCACGAAACGAGTGCGAAGCGCGAGACGAGGAGTGGAGAAAAATAAAGCTTTATTTTTCTCCTCTCCTCGTCGCTTTTCGCGCTTCGCGCAAAATGCCGCTTTCGCCTCGCTTGGCTCATAAAGCGCCTGTTATGCAGGCTGGAGGTATTTCTGCAAGTTCTCTAAGTTAACCAAAGATAACTTTGTTTATATTCCCTAAACAACACTTCTAGAGGTCTCTAGAGAAAGCGTTACGCGCGAGAATGTAAAATTTTATAACACTCCAAATCGCGTATTCAGCCCTGCGGAGTGGTTCTCTTTTTCTCGCGCTCGCGGCGTGAATTGGTCATAGTTAACTCTAAGATTATTATAAGCCTCAATAGGCTTTTCAACAATTTTGAAGAGGTCTGGAAGGTTTCAAGGATGCGATAAGCACACGCAAGTTTGAAGTTGTGTTGTGGATAAGCTCTAAATGGAACTGAGAATTTCTAGTTACCTGGCTAGGGTTTCCTGGTTTCGGAGGAAAAATCATAAAAAAAAATCCAAAACAAAACTAAAGCAAGCTATAAAGTTGACTTTTATGCTTTTTTTTTTTTTTTTTTTTTTTTTTTTTTTTTTTTGCTGTTTGGATTGTTGCAAGGTGGGAAATTCGGAAATAACGAACTTATTAAGGAAACATTTGTGTTTGAAATATTTTGGGAAATATTATACCACCCTGAATCAAAAACTGTGATGAATGTCTTTCACAGCTAGTCAGCATATGCATGTGTCCAAACCAATACAAATATATAGATCAAATAAAGCAAGAAGGTCTGTTCTGTGAAAAGTTTATATATTTTTTTACCAAAACAAAGGCCGAAAACAGAAACTATTGAGTATTTCGTGACAGTTTGCTAACGTGACCTTAGCATGTAACCGATTTCCGGGTCAGTAGAGGTCATAAGACCTTGTCGTGGCTTGAAATCTTAACTAAACAAATTCAAAATCGAAGTCAACGATTTCGAGTGCATTTTAATTCTGCTTTTTTCCCCCTGAAGAAAACTATTTTACAATTGTGGTAACGGAGTTTCATCAAGCGACGACAGTTTCAGTTCGAAGTTGCGATCTCAATGATTTCGCTGGTAGCAAAGTGGATGAACAAACGTTTTTCAGTCGTCATATAAAAAGTTATTTACGGCTCTTACCAACACAGCTGAAAGTTAGAAATAACATTTTCACTTTAAAAACATATTACAAGCAACAGTAAGTAGTCCTTTTACACTAAACTTTGCGTTTAGTATGAATTCATTCAGCGGACCGTCTAGTTTGCATAAATTTTATAAACTTAAATTCTCAAACTGCTTACTCTAGTGTCAGGGTTGTATTTAATTTCCAGACCTAAACGTTCCCGTAATTTACTTTAATATCCAAGGCTTTATTCCATATGGGTTTTACTGGGAAGCGGCATATACCAGAGGGCTTTTACAACAGTTTAAGTTCGCTTTCATTTTCTAACATTTCAAGAGACACAAATATGACCTTTTAAAACTTCTTTCTTCAAATTTCTTTCAGGAAATTAAAGAGTAAGTACGAAATAATACTGGGCTGAAGTTTCGATGTTAGGGATTGTTTCTTATGCGTTCACCGTTTTCTCGAAGTTGCGGTCGGATCCTGTTGTTTTTAAGCGCGAAAAAACAGCAATAAATCGATTTTTCAAACTTTTTGTTATTTCTCCCGTACAATGAATCGCTTGAACTCAAAACTATTTTTTCTTGAATTAGGTCACTAAAAAGGGATTTTTTGGCAAAAGAAAAAAAAATTCAATCGGAAAATGGCTCTTAAGATATGGCGCGCCTTTCCGGTCAATATTCAAACAACCTTAATATACAATACATCTATTACATTCCTTTGCCATATTTTTTATTTCGTTTTATGTAGATATGTTTTTTTCGCTACTTTATTTTTCATTTTCCTTCTATATTTTTTAAATCTCTTTCTATCAATTTAGATACACGTGTTTGACGCATCTATTTTCTATTTTTTCTCTTTATCTTATATGCGTTCTATATTTTTAATATTCATTCCATATTTTTTTTTCGTTCCGAGTGGGATTTTTTATTTTCTTTCTAATTAGTAGGCAACACGTGATCACATGACCACGCTACACTTTTTCCATTCCGCCATTTTGGCGTTCGGCTATATGGAGGAAGAGCTATCGACTGCTTGTCGTGCGGCCGCGGATGCTTTAGAGATTTTAAGTAATTTGAGACCTGGTTTTACGAGAAATGTAATACCTCGGATGAATTCAACGCCAGTTTCTGTCAGTCAGCCGAACAACGGGGATCGTAAGGTAAACAACGAGGAACTTCAGTCGAACTAACTTGCCATTCAGTCCTCGACGTCGCCAGCCTCTAACAGTTCTATTCAAGCTCGGCCTGCCACTCTCTTTCCGACAATTGGTTCGAACCGAGCTAATGGGAAAAGCACTAGTAGAAGACCAGCAAGGTCAAAGCAGACCATTAAGTCGACCAAAGGCCGCCCACCCAAGACACTTGTTTACAAGGATCTAGTCCTTATTCCCAGTCCCAAGATCAACAAAGTGCCTACACATACAACCCGACTTCAGTTAGAAGAGTGAGAACTTGTCTGCCACGAGTTTCCCGTTGACAAGAGCTGGGATGCACATTCCCTCAAAGCTGCTATATTGAATCGATTTCCAAAGCTTTTGCTATTTGAATATGTCAAGGTGGGTAACTTTGCGTTGTGATATAAGTTTAAACATTGTTCTACGTTTAATGCTTTAATAATATCATTGCTGTTCAGTTTGTACATTTGTTTTGGCTGCACTATTTTTAAATACGCATTTATACTATTTTGCCAAAAATTTAACCACATGAGAAGATACCTGCAGTGACGCGAGTAATGGACTTCGAATTTTTGGCAGAATTTGTTGGGTTATTTTAGATTTCCTCTGGTACTGCCCCGCTCCCACCCCTTTCTCCTTCCTTGTGATATAAGTTTAACTTAACAACTCTTTCATTAGATTTACCCTTGACTTTTGCAAGAAGCGTGCAAGTAATGTGTGTTTTTCTTAACCTAGCCATGTTATGGAAAGCTAATAACTCCTAAGCTGGCAGAAGGCATAACTCTGGATGCAGAAAGAGTGACCAGGATGGCTGGTCAAGGAGCTGTTTATGTTAGATCACTGGTGCCTTTGGAATCTGAAGATGAGGGTGAAACTGAAGAGGAGCTAGAGAATTCAGCATTAGATAACAGTCCAAGGTGAACTTTTTCTTGTGAATTTTTGCATTGAACAAGATAAAACCTGTATAGATTTCTTTTAGCTTTTTTGCCTCACTGCAAAGGTAGCTTCTCGTTGCAGTGGAATCATCTTATATATGATAGACTGGCATCCCAGATCATGCTACTAGGCATGACAATGGCTTTTTGTTGGAAATATTATCTAGTTTGTCTCCAAACAGATTTGTGTATTTATTTATTTTATTGGTTATTTATTTATTTATTTGTTTGCTCAGATCTTTATTCAATTGTTTGGCAGGACAGGACATAAATTAATGTGGTTTATTGCAACTCCATATGATTGTGGATATTTGTATTTAAAGATGAACCTTCATAGTCTGTTACATCATTGCCAATTAGTTCCCTTTTTTTATGGTTTGTGACAAGTTGATATTTCCTTTTAGTGTTAGTGGAACACAAAGAAGTTCTCTGTTGCTTTCATTTGGGGAGAGTGAAGGGAGGCGAGATGCAGCTGTGGTGTTCCACCCCTGCCAGGATGCTGCACAACCTTATTGTGTACCATTTCCAACTGAAGCAGAAACATCACATCAAAATACAGAGTTAAATGATGTAGAGACAGGCAGTAACTCTGATATTGTTCATGCATCATCTGAGCATGTACCTGTGTCTGTATCAGTACCTGTACCTCAACTGTTACCAAAACGTATCATCCAAGTGCACAGGCTAAATATTAAGAAGGATTTGATTGACTTATTCCGAGATCCATTAATTATGAGTCAGGACATAGAGATAATTGTTATTGATGCTAGGGGAGTTGAAGAAGTGGGCAGAGGTGTTGGGTTGCTCAGAGATGTTTTCTCTCTTTTTTGGAAAGAAACATATGATTCCCTTTTTGTTGGAGAAAATGAGCGTGTACAATTTGTAAGACATGATTATCAAAGGGATGAATGGGTTGCTGTTGGCAGAATTTTGGTGAAAGGATATTTAACCTGTCAATACCTACCAGTCCTTCTGTCTCAAACATTCCTTGCCTGTCTTTTTTGGGGGGAATCTGCTGTAACTAGTGCTATGCCGACTCAATCCTTTAGAAATTACATTTCAGTTGATGAAAAATGTTTGATTGACAAGTGCCTTGCTGGTGATATGAAGTGGGATGATGAAGATGAAATGTCCCAGCTTTTAGAAGTTTTTAGTAACTATGACTGTCGAATTATGGTAAATTCTGAGAATATTATTCAAGTTATTGAAGAAATAGCCCATAAGGAGCTGCTGCAGAAGCCACAGTATATTGCAGACTGCTGGAAGGATATAGTTTCCACACTCCTTCCTAGTTTTCCTGATTTTGCAGCAATTTCCAAAAGGTATGAATTTTTAATACCATCCACAAGCAAAATCCTTAGTTGCCTAGAGGCAAACCCTGAGAGTGATGGGGAAAGGGATAGCCTTAAGTTTCTCAAACGGTATATTAAGGGCCTTGACACGCCTCAGAAATTATCAAAGTTTGTAAGGTTTATCAGTGGGTCTGAGTTAATGCTTTTTGACGCAGTCCAAGTAAATTTTACCAACTTATCTGGTTTGGGTCGCCGACCAATTGCCCACACTTGTAATACTGTGTTGGAGCTATCCTCGACTTATCAGTCATTTCCTGAACTTAGAGAGGAGTTCAGTGAAATACTTGCATCAGATTATTGGGAAATGGATATTGTGTAATATGCCTTGTGACAAAAAGAAGACCATTATGATGGCAAGCTGATAAAACAGACTGTTAATTCATTTTTGTAGTGAAATTATGTTTTCTACCTTGGATGGGTATTTACGATTTTAAAACATCTAAAAATAGTGCACATATTATTTTCCAGTAAATCAAACTGGGAAATCGTTAGCTAATATATTGTTGTCTGTTCAAAGTTGACATTTTCAAGTTTGCGAGCGCAGTTGTTTAGAACTTTATTGTTGAGATTTTAATGTATTTTTTCTTGACTGTTGTAAAGGCTAAGTTGCATTCGTTGTTCTATTCTGATTGATACAATTTGAAGGCAATTAATAAATTTAACACTGTTTACGTTTTCAATCTGTAATAGTGGTACCTGTTTGATAGGCGTTAATTGATCTTAATTCTCTTGGCCCTGTTTTCACTCTCTAAACAACGAATTTCAGGTTAATTGAATGCTGGGAACACCTGTTTTGAAAGATAGTTACCAGCCAAGTTTCTTATATGTTGAATTGATTCCTGAGGATGTCTATGCATCTCAAATATTGAGTTCTACCATGTTCACCATCGTCATTCAAAGGGTGACAGGAGACTTCCAAGATATGCAGTTGTTGTGGTGTGAGGTGAACATCAACTGCTGGTATTGAGACCTGGTAATCGTCGTCGTCTAACGGGATAGGTCCATCTGGATCAAACCCATACAATGGAATTTCATTTGGATGTAGAATACTCTCAACTCCAGAGTATCCAGAGTGCATGTTTTCCAAAATCCCAGAGGCAAAAATTTGTAGGGGAGATAATTGATGTTCACTGGAGACAGGGTGATTGTTCCATTGACTAGTAAAGTGTTGCAATGCCCTATTTATCCTTGGTATGTATACAAAGTGCAATGAAAATAAATGTACTTCATTTAACGGGTCATGAAGACCCATGTCTTCCATTCCACTAAAGATATTGGCAAAGTGACAAAGGACACCAGCGTAAACATCCTTGTGAGCATGCTCAACGTGGCAGTTGTGGACAGAGCTTCCCGTTATGATACTTCCTCTGTTTAGTCCTCTATTTTCCAACATGTACTGTGCCACTCTAACATTTTCCAGTCCATGATCGCTTCTTACTCTTGAAGGTAAGCCAAACTCTTGTACTCCTTGATGAAGAGCCCCAACACTGTATCTGCTCGGTTGTTATCAGTTAGGGTGGCATACACAATAACCTTTGAATACCCATCAACACAGCAATGCACAACAAACCTGTACCTGGTAAGCTTGTGGTTTCCGTCTATGTGCCACAAAGCGTTTGGCGTTGGTACAGAGTACTTTCGACGGTAAACCGGAGTACTCCAGCGAAGTGCTGTCCCAAGCGGGTCTTGTACCCTCCATCGCTGGATTCGAAATCCCCTTGCTCGGAGAGCTCCAAGCAATCTTCGTTGTCCAATGTTTGGAGTAATGCTTCTAATTTCTTTGACAGCGTCTTCAAGCTGAGAATCTGAAAAGAAGTTCTAGTTTAATTCATAAAGTTTTAAGTGTCGTACATCATTGAGTGAAATGGGGAACCTAAAATATTTTGACTAAGGGTATGGCTTCTAAGATTTATTTTACCCGAAACTATATCACCCTTGTCCAAACACACTGATAATAAGCATTAAACCAAATAAGCTACTAGTACAGATAACCTTAGTCTGTAAATTACTGCGCACCTGACAATGCAGTCCAGTTTTCGCTGTCTTCATCCAAATTTAATTCCCGTCTTCTTCGACATAAAGTACTTTACTGATACCTAACAAACTAGCGATTTTTACCCAGGAGAAATGCAGTTCGCGTAAGAATTCGATCTGCTCTCTTTCAATGACGATTACTGGTCTTCCTGCACTTGTTAGTTTAGTGGTAGGACAAGCGAATGAATTTGATATCGTTGCTTCAACGGAATTTCTTTCCTCGTACTTTGTCATTGCACGAAAAACAAAGCGTACTTTTGTCAAAACAGCTTCTATTATTGTCTTGAAATCTCGAACGACAGAGTCCTCACTTTGCCATACACTATGCAATAGCAACTGTAAAGTTAAAATTGCATCTTCCAGACGCACGTTAGCTTGTTCAAAGTAATCAGCGGAGACATCTTGTGTGTCCAAATTCTGAATACCAATCAACAGGATACGAAGAGACTACGAAGTTGTAAAGGCCTCTCTCGTTGCCACCTCTTAAAGTTCCATCCGCCATTTTGCTTTTGAAATTGTCGGAAAAGTGCATCGCGGTCATGCGATCACGTGTTGCATACTAATTAGAAAGAAAATAAAAAATCCCTCTCGAAACAAAAAAAAATATGGAATAAATATAAAAAATATAGAACGCATATAAGATAAAGAGTACAAAATAAAAAAAAGATGAGCTAAACACGTATATATAAAATAATAGGAAGAGATATGAAAAGTATAGAAGCAAAATGAAAAATAAAGAAGCAAAATAAAACAGCTACAGAAAGGAAATAAAAAATATGGCAAAGAAATGTAATGGATGTATTGTATATTAAGGTTGTTTGAATATTGACTGGAAAGGCGCGCCATATTAAGAGGCTGTCTCTCTTACTTCCACTCGGTCAATTTTGCGTCAAAAATAATTTTGCCTGAAACTCTGTCAACAGAAAGACTTTACCTAGGAAAGAACTAAATTAGATTTGGTTTGATTCGAAATAATTTTCTGACTGCATTAGGGGCCATAATTATTTCCCAGTCCGTAGGGACCGTCGCAACGTCTCGAAAATTGAAAAATAGGCATATTTTGTAACATTGTAACATATTTGATTCGCATAGTTAGGCCACAGAATTTATATCAGATTGCTTATAAAAACCTTTCTAGTTTGCCAAGAAAGTTAGAATTTGCCCTCTCAATATATTTGAAAAGGCGAATTTTAGCATATTCTGACCACTAGAAATCGCCATCGGCCGATGGCCGTAAATAACCTTGATTTAGACGTTAAGTTTTGGGATTTGGGACCTGGTTGACTATTCTTTCCTACACAGCCGTTAAGTTTAGACCTTTATAGGCAAAAATATGCAAAAACCCCTGTACGCTTTCGATTTTTCAAAAGTTATGACCGTTTGAATCAGCACATGTACGAGCATTCGCGATTCTTTCGCCTACACCAAAATGGAACCACTGGAGCAGATTTTGTCATAAATACAGCTTACCCGCTTTGCAGCCCGGCTTCATGGCTCACTTTAGAATTTTTCTAATAACCAAATTGGTGAAATCCATGATAACTTCAACAAATAGCTAGGTATTGTCTTCGAAAAGTAGACGGCATCCATCGTGATTCGTGGTATCAAAACAAATGTCGGAATTGGCCACATTTCGCGGTGAATCACCCATTTAACATCGCTGCAGAGCTGAATTTTTTCCAAAATCAGAATATAAACTCTCCACGTCTGGAAACTGAGGGAGAAATGAAGGTTTTAGGCTTCTGAAGTGAAGAAATAATGGCTTAAATTTAGATCCAGTTCGATGTTATACTGTTCTCACAAAGGTCCGCACAAAAGAGAAGACCGCTGATAGCTTGTGCCGTAAGTTGTGCCGTATGATTTTGTTTTGTATCCCAATGTAATATTTGGGCAGAAAAATTTTGGATGAAAAGAATAAATGCTTTTACCTGGAGTTTGATATCATATAATTAATAAATCAATTTCAAATATCCTGAGCTTGCTTCTCTCGGTTCCGCGTCGATTGTGTCCACAGAACAACAACCTGTCAGTAGCCGGAGAAATCATGGGTTTATGTGAAATTTCAGATATTCCTCGCTTCCCAAACTGGTGAACTTTATGATAACTCCAGCAAATACCTCCGAAATTCAGCGGTCGGCATCTATCGATACTCTTCTTTGACTCGTTGTTGCGAACTAAACTCGAAAACTAAAGCCATGTTTCGCGCTTAATGTCCCGTTGAAACTTTGGATTGCAGCTGCATTCTCTTCAAGAATCAGTCATAGAACTCCACTTGTAAGTCTATGTGTCGAAGTCTGGCGTTTTGGAATTTAAAGCTGAACGATTGCTCTATCGCGCATAACAGAGGTCCGCATTAACCATTGGGGGTGAACCCGCTGACCCTTTAGTTTTTTTTGAAGGCCTGCAAGTGTAATATGGCATGCAAGTGCTTTTTCGAAACCAGAGAGGCTTCAGTCTGTAGCGAGTCTTCAGCGAGGTTGTTAAAGCTTTCATTGGACAGAGGATACGCATTGACGAAACACCCAGTGAAGGGAACAACAGCTGCAGTAAGCATAGTAGACGAATCAAAGAACACTCTCTGTATAAATAGGATTGAGCATTTTAGTAGCTTCCACAACTTCGAATATGGAGATACTGGTCTAAGAGTTTGGAAATGTTATGGCATCGGTAAAGGGAAGTACATTCCATATGACGTAATTTATATCAAGCATTAAGGTCAAACGTCCCTTCAAACCACAGAATCTCAAGAGTTTTATGATCCTCCTGAAAAGCGTGTGGTCAAGCTTCGTTCAAAGGGCAGCAAGGAAACAGAGAGTACAACGCCATTGTTTGAATGCTCTGTGTTTGGATGCGTTGAAGTGTTCGAAACCTTTTCGCAGCTGGAACTGCACCTGGACTTTGGAAAGCATACAGTCAACAGGTTAAGCCAGTATGATGCAATCAAAAGGGACTGGGCCCTTAAGTTCTCGTCGATAGATACCGCTGGTATCGAGTGTTCGAGCTGTTCGTTAGATTCTAGTACACCACTCAATTCTCCCGTGGATACTTCGCCCCACACGTCTCTACGAACAGGATGGGCCGTAAGCAAACCAAGGGGCAGCGTTAGATTTTCAGAGAAGGTAAAAGAACACCTAACGGCACGGTTTACACTTAAAGAAAGAACTTGGCGAAAGGCAGACCCCGCCCAAGTTGCAGTGGACATGCGAAATGCGAAAAATGAATCAAATGCACGTTTGTTCACCAGAGAACAGTGGCTGACAAAGAGCCAAGTTCAGAGCTTTTTCT